GAAGAAAAAATTCTTGATAATATTTTAAAGTACATAACGACAATGACAATTGACCCGGAAAATAGCCAAAGAAGGCAATGGCCCTACTCGCCCCCATGCAGTGCCGGCCCTAGGGGGGGGCAAGCGGTGCGACCGCACCGGGCCCCGCGCTTGGCGGGTTTGTGCGGGGCCCCACAGGCCAGTAATTATAATATTACGAATATCACTTTATCTATAAATAAATATAATAATATTGTCCCCGTAGCAGTAATACGGATATCGCAACCTGTGTTGTTTTCTTAGGAAACTGTTCGTTATCGACGAATACCAATTATACCTACATATCTATAGTTTTACATTCGTTATGTACTTGTACAATTGTTTATCTTTGACGACGATCGATAACAGTACAAAATATAGCTGTAACCCATAATAACATAGTATAAAATAGTATAATAATAATATTTTTCTTTCGTAACTTATTATTAACGAGAACTGCGATACCTCATAATCTTGATATTGCCTACAAAAGGCTACACGGGTAACGCTCGTCACTACGAGACATTCAACGAGTTAACGACGATTGACGAACACGGGTTTAATTTATCGGACATCGCTTCATTAAAAAACAGGTATTTAGTATAGTCTATTTTAATTATTTACATAATAAATATTTTTGAATATGGATTACGGAATAAGTATGTGTACTATGTCTATATTTTAATATCTTACCTTGATTATACGTCCGTATGACCGTAATACTGATAGTGATACACGCTACACGCATAATGTAACGCACATAATACACATTACAGTAATTATTATTTATTATGTTAAGCACATTTCTATAAATATCCAAAATTAATATATTTTATTTCAAACCAAATTTCACATTTATTTTGTCCATGGATTACAACATTTTTGTCTATGTAGATGTAGAATCATTAAAATCATTCTATCTAAATTTTAAAAACAATACTGATAGGTAGTATTATTTTCACAGGCATTTATTTACAAAACGATACTTTGTAGTTCGTATATTTCTGTATCATGTCATCAAGAGATCGAGATAAGTTTAGAAGTTATCCGTCAGGAAATGCGAAAAGGCAGAAAAAAAACATAAGGGATAAAAGTTTAAATAAAATGCGTGGCTCTATCAACAAATATGTAAATTATAAATTTGATACTCCTTCTTCAAGTATAGAAATAGACAACGAAGTTGAAATTAATAAATTACAAACCGAAAGTAATAATAGCGGTAATGACTTTATTATAAACACAGTAAACGATTATGATACGACAGATTATATTGAGAATGATAAATTTGACACTCCTTCTTCAAGTATAAAAATAGATAACGAAGTTGAAATTAATAAATTACAAACCGAAAGTAAAAGGAGCAGTAATAACATTATTATAAACACAGTAAATGACTACGATATGACAGATATTGGTTGTTGGCCTGAAATAATAAATAATGATTTCAGAAAAGAGCTTATAAAACTGGGGCCAATACAAGTTAAAAGCTATAATTTTCCTCAATCTGAAATAAATGGTGAGCTAAGACGTTTTAATCCGACATTATATGACAAACGTTTAGACAACGGAGATGTTATTAAACGAAACTGGCTGGTATATTCAAAATTTAAAGATAGAGCTTTTTGTTTTTGTTGTAAACTTTTTGACTCTCATTCTACAGGTAATTTAAGCAAGAATGGTATAAACGATTGGCGACATATTGGGGAAAGACTAAAGTCTCATGAAATCACGATTCCACATTATACTTCCTTACAGTCATGGATTGAATTAAAACAAAGAATATCAGAACTCAATACTATAGATAAACTACATCTGACTAAATTAAACGCGGAAAAACAACATTGGTATGATGTTATTACACGAATACTAGCGGTTATCCATTTTTTAGCTAAAAATAGTATTGCATTCAGGGGTTCCAATGATGTTTTATATCAAAACAATAATGGAAAATTTCTTAGTGCGATTGAAATGCTTTCCAAATTTGATCCTGTTATACAGAAACACGTAAAACGAATTAAAGATAAAGAAACTCATGTCCATTACCTAGGACACAGAATTCAAGATGAGTTGATAGAAATAATGGCAAATGAAGTTCGAAAATCAATTATAAATTTAATTAAAAAACATAGGTACTATTCCGTGATCATTGATTGCACTCCAGATATTAGCCACCAAGAACAAGTATCCTTAGTATTTAGAATTGTCAACATGCATTGGGACAAATTAACAGAACCAAGCATTCAAGAATTGTTTATGGACTTCGTGAATATTCATTCAACGTCAGGATTAAGTCTTTCAAATTTGTTGATTTCAAAACTTGCAGAATATGAGATACCTCTTAGTGACTGCCGGGGTCAGGGGTATGATAACGGAAGCAATATGGTTGGAGAATATCAA